TACCGTGATAAAAGCATTAGCAATTAATCGCAACATGAGAATTTGATACCGGCATATCCCTACTTGTATATGAAACGCTTTGTGCAGTTTAATGGACAATGAGAGATGACCTCATGAACACACTCGTATTCATTCACGCTTCCGCCCAGACCTTCCTGGAAAGCAACCTTTTAGCATTTTCTTTGATTAGAAGACAAATATAATAGGACAGACGTGATTCTTGGCCTTTATTAATGTATCACAGAAAATACATTGCTGGGGGAAAAGGATGCTGAGAGCGAAATGAAAGAGCCATCTGTCTTCTCTTCTGCCTGAAGAACGAGGCTGGAAAGGCGGCTGGGGAGCGATCGGACCGATCCATCAGGTCAGGGGTGGACGCTCGGCCCGATGTAATATGCGGCTACAATGGCTTTGATTGGCTTGCTGTGTGAGAGCCAATCAATATCCATTTCTCCAGTTCCTTGAGGCCGCCTCCGAACCCGAGCATTTATTTCTCTTTAACATCCACAGCAGTCCAGGAGCACTTTATTTGCCTTTAATTTGTGCGTCTCGGCATGACTAGAATGTTCTGGCGTTCAGCAGTCGATTTGCTCGCTGCACAAAGACAATCGTCTCCTTCCAGGTGGCATGAATGAGTGTTTTTGTGTGGATTTGAGTGTTTGCACTTTGACAACATCCCAGCTAACAGGGAACGTTCTCAGAACATTTGCTAACATTCTGGCGAGGTTCTCTAAAAGTTGAGAACAATTGTTATGTTATGTTATTTATATAATTATGGAACATCGATGGAACGGTATTTACTGATGGAACGTTATTTATATATTCATGGAACTTTATTTATATATTGGTGGAATGTTGGTAATGTTATTTATATAATCTTGGAATGTTTTTCTGGAACTTTTTATTTGGACGTTCTTCTAACGTTACTTGTTTCAGAACATTCAGACAACATTCAAATGTAACATTCCCGTAATGGTTGCAAAATGGAATATTCCCTTAACGCTTCTATAACCCAAAAAAAATTTTTTTTTACATTTTTTAAATTAAATGAATTTTCAGAGAATGCTCAGAAATAACGTTTTCGTTATCTAAATGGAAACATTAGCTAAACGTTGCTGTTTTTGTTTGCTGGGATGAGTGTTATGAATGTAACGGCTAGCTTTCTCCATATTATAGACTCCCAGCAGCGGTTTGTAATGCCTGGCCTGGTGTGTACTCCAGTGTTAATTTTGACAGCAAATTTTGATTTAGTTTTAGTCATAGTCTTTTGATTAAAATGCCATTTAGTTTTAGTCATATTTTAGTCATCTAAATTGCTTTAAGTTTTAGTCTAGTTTTAGTCGACTGAATATCATAAGATTTCAGTCGACTAAATCTACAGTAAATTTAGTTGGCTAAAATCTAATGGGTTTAGTTACAGTGTAATGCATTTATTAAGCATTTCTCTAAAGTTTCCAAACTCATTATATAGGATTGATATTAAAGTTTTATCATGATAGACACAGATTTAACTGCGGTGACACACAACATGCCTTTATGTTAAAATTAAATAAAACCACTTCTCATAAAGAACAAGAACATGGTCTTCTTTTAATGAAATACCAGTGGTTATATAGGCTAATTATGCATTCTTTATAGCAACTTGTTTACGATATTCTTCATTCTTTCAAGCAGACATATTTATTTGTATAAATACATTTAGATTAATCTTTAGGGCTACTAAAGTTTTTCAGTCAAGAGCAGTGCGTGATTTTCTGTCTTTCTTTTGTTGCTTGATTAACATCAATGACTCGGACAATAGCAACTAAATTAGGCTGCTGTCCCTTTAAAACCGAATGCACAGCTGCAATGGATGCAATGCACTGATACACGTTCTCCCTACTGTTTACGTTCACTTAAAACGTAATCAACTGTGTTTACGTGAATACTCGTCAAAACGGACAATTCGACATCATTTTGTGTGTAATTCTCCGTTCATGCGTCGCCAAAGTGTACTCGCGCGCTGTGAGGCGCTTTCTGTGTGTGTATGCTTCAGTGTCTGCGCTCAGAAAACCGCACCGAATTGAGTTCTCTCTTGCGTCAGATTTATCCATATGTCTGCTCTTCTCTTACTCCCACATATTGACATTTTTGAACGTTTTAGGAGACGTGCAGCAAGTGTATGTTATCTTATGTCCCGCCGGTTCATAGGTAAAAAAAATTTTGTTGACGAAAATTATGATGATAAATTATTCGTCAACGAAATTAACACATCCTGTGGTGTAAACGTCTTATCTCTCTGCCTTTATATTTGTACGTTTAATTAAAGATTCACCAGAGACGTGGGCCTGACTGCACTGAGTGGCTTGGCGTTTCCTTTCCTCTCATTAGCATAATTTTTTTTTATTTCCATTGATCGTTTATGAAAATCCAGACAGCACATTTACAGATCTTCCTGTGTGTATGGAGGATGTGGCTAATGGTAGTGCTCCTTTGATATAATTCCTGCTGTTCTGCAGCCGAACTTCCCTCATGCTGTGTGTTTGATGCTGCGGTTAAAAAATGCATATCTTGCAGATTAATATGTATCTGGCACAAAAGCAATTAGGTTATCAATATTCTTTTAAAAAATTTATCAAATTCAATATGTTTAATTTACATTTACTAATAAAATTAAACAAAACCGTATTTTATTTACATAAAAGCGATAAATAAACAAACAAATAAATGCTGTTTTTAACAATCATATAATATTTATAATTACTTTATGTAATTTGTTTGTACAAAAAATATTACATGCAACACTAAAAAAATCATATAAATCTATTTATATTTAAATATAATATTATATATTAGTTGATCCAAATGAACTGAATCACTAAAACAGACCATTCAAATTAATTTTTGTAATCACTGTTGATTGATAAAGGAATCTGTGAATTTTTTAACTAATTCATTGAATCAAACTCAATGAACTGGATCTCTAACACAACCGTTAGAACTGACTTTTAAGAACAATATTGAATGATGACACAAATGATTTGGTAAATGTATTTTAAACCAGTTGATTGAAATGAACTGTCTGAATGAACTGAATCACCATTTTATCACTTTTATCACATTTGAGTGATGCCTTCTTTGTGATGACAAATCCTTTTTTAAATCAACTCAAGGAAATTAATGGTCTAAACGAATCAATTTGATTTAAACAGAATTTAGTTGTGAACACTATTTCATAATGACTCAAATTAATTGGTGAATACATTTTTTGCCACAGTTCTTTAAAAGGAACCGACTGAGCAAATTGATTCTCTAAAACAGACGATTTGGGAAAACTGTTAGTTGATCAATCAGATGATTCAGTTCATTAGGGCCTTTCGCACCACTTTAGTTCCAGAACTAAATGTACAGTACCAAAGTACTGGGACGATTTCAATTTGAACAAACTGGCTAGTAAAACAAACCGTCTACCAAACGATTCTCTGTAATAAATCAGATCACAAAAACAGTATGCAGTGTTTGTCAGGCTACACATTGCTACTTGTTGTATAAATAAAAATGTAGTAATGTTAGCAAAGTTGTGTCACTTCTTTTAGTGAGTTGCTCCCATATACTGACATGTAGCATCAGTTTTAGCCTCTTGGAGTGCTAGCCTCTGCTGTGTTCTGTCATTGTAGACCTGCTAAATGAGTCCAGTGGCTTGTGTTATTGATGTTCTCTAATGTTTTTCTCTCTCCTTTGGTGTGCGTCTCCTCTCTTTTATTTGCTCGGAGCCGTGACAGTTAGCGATCCTCCCGGGAGCCAATAATCTGAAGCGATGAGCCTGGGCTCTGTGAGTCTGGCCCGATACGCTGATCTCGGATCAGGACACTAACACTCCGTCTCTAATCTCCAGCTTCACAAACAGACTTACAGACTGACGCGTGTGCAGCTTAACTCCAACTCTCTAGGTGTTCAAGTGTGGACGCTGGCGTCTAAAGAAATCTCACGACTGCCATTAAAAGTGGACATGAATTGGATACTCATTATAGAGCCGCTCGTGCCCACAGGCCTTTTCTAACATTCAAGCACTTATCATTGGTAATCGCATTCAAGTCGGCAAGTTTATATTGAGAGAAAACTGGAACTGTTGCAACAGTCGTGACTGTATAGATGATTGAGCTTAATACTGAAACGGGGCTCTCATTTTTGGGTAAATGATGGAAAAATTGTGAAATAATGACTTTTTTAATGGCAAATTTATCACAAATGAAATCCAAATGGTACTAATAACAGGAAAGTCATTTGCACTCTTTGTATGGCTGAATTTAATTATCATAAAAGCACAATAAATGTGATTATAATTGAAACTGGGTCTGTGAGTGTGCGTCACAATAGTTCCGAATGGCTAATGAATTATGCTTATAATGACAAATTAGTGTTAATCTAATAAAATTCAATGCTGTTAAACATGTTTAATTAAATCTAATTTGTTATAAATGCAAACAATCAACCTGCTGTGTTAAATCCATGAATTCAGTATTAAACCAACCTTAAAGGATTCAGAAACATTTGTACTCTGAATCTCTGAAGAAGTTGTTTATTTCACATGAATGTTCACATATGTATATATTATTAATATTATTTTGTATTTTGATAAATATACAGTATATAATAGTGCTTACCTTTTACAAGTGCGCATCAGTAATCAGTGTAAATAAAAATATATGCAAAATAATATAAAATTATATAGTAGATAAAAATAAACAATCTAAAATATTACAATTGTATAATCAAAAGTAATTAAATATGTTACATTTATTTGAATAGTTATATTAATATTTTATAAATGTATATACATGTTTATATATATATATGTATATATATGTTTATTAGATATATTTTGTCACAGTGTATGTGCTGCAGAGCTGTAATCACAGCTGTTTGATGATGAGCAAGACGACGCTCTTCATCTCCCTGCTGTTATTAATTCTGTCTCTCTGTTTCTGTTGTCTCTCTGGCTGCTGTATGACGTCCTCCAGCCACAGCACGGCGTATCAGTGCATTTACTATCCTCCAGAACAGACGGCCAAGGCCCGCGAGATCCTGTGTGTGGTGTCCCAGCTGCAGCCGCACATCTCTGCGCTGGCCGACCAGCTGCTCCAGACGGCCCAGCAGAGCTCCAGCCAGCCTCTCCGAGACGTCCTCAAGAGCCTGGAGGAGAAGGTGAGACCTGCAGACAGCTGACACTCAAACCTTCAGCAAGAGCGTATGCATTAAACTGATCAAAAGTGACAGGAAAGGCATTTATAATGTTAGAAAAGATTGCTATGCTGTTCTTTTGAACTTTCTGCTCTTCAAGGATTCCTGAAGAAAATGTGTCATGGTTTCCACAAAAATGTGAAGTGGCGCAACTACTTTCAACATTGATGATAAGAAGACATTTATTTTATATTGTAATAATATTTCACAGTATTGCTGTACAGACTTCATTCAAAAACATAAAAATTTAAGAAAAAAATTATACTGACCCCCAAAAATATTTATATGTATAATAGATTTTATTTCTTTCCATAATAATAATAATATTAGTAGTAGTAGTAGTAGTAGTATTTAATAATTTAATAAAATATTAGATAAATAACTGGACATTAGGTTTAGGTGAAGATTAATTATGATATTATTATTACTATTATTTAATAATTTAATAAAATATTAAAAATAGATAATAACTGGATGTGAGGTGTAGGTAAAGATTCATTATGATATTAACATGACTCATCAAAAAACCCTTGAAAGACCATTTTAGCCAATGTCCTTGAATTTATTATTATTATTATTTATTTATTTGTTCATTTATTCATTCATTCATTCATTCATTCATTATACAAAAATAGTTTTTTATTTTTCAGGATAACAACTGGACGTGGGGTGTAGGTTCATTACGGTATTATTATGACTCATCAAAAAACCCTTGAAAGACAATTTTAGCCTTGAGTTTTTTATTATTTTATTTTTTCATTATTTTTATTTTATATTATTATTATTATTCATTCATTTATATATATATATATACTTTTTTTTTTTTTAAGATAATAACTGGATGTGAGGTGTTTTTATTTGAAAGGAATTTTAGCCAGTGTCCTTGAATACCTGAGTCAGTCTGGAATTGCATAAAGTTTTAAAGTAGAAGTAAAATTTAAATAAAGTATTAATCTTCAAGACGGTGGTTTGGGAACATATATGTAAAATGAGGCAGAATAGTGCGTCTATTAATAGTCCTGCAAATGTTCATGCTTTAAGGGCAAATATCTCAAATATCTTCTAATGAAATACATTACTGTCACACTCAGTTTATTCAGATTCTGAAGCTGCTGCTGAATCACTGAGAGAAATGATGGCTAGTGTTGCTGCCAGTCACTAACATTTGCTGTCTGTGGCAGACAAAAGTACTACGCTTGTACTGTGTCAGATGATAATACCCTGGTGCTTTGATGTATATTACTGTACTGTACCATTACTATATTCATATACCGTAGTTCTGGGCCTTAAAAAATGGTATTACCATGTTACCTTGACCAAAAACACTTTCTCCAAAAACCTTTGAAATAAATCCTAGAAATGAATTGCATGCTGAATCGTACAGCAGTGAATGTGCTCTGTGTTTTTGTAGACAACACCAGGTTTTACATCAACAAACGCAGCATGTGCAAGTCATTAACCGTGTCGTCCCGTTCACTCTGACCACCAAAACTTGGCATGAAACTGGTCAATAGACATCAAGGCTGTTTGACAAACGGCTATCGGTCTGTCACGTTCCCCTCTGCCAAAGCCAACAGAAGCCACCAGGCTGAGCGTCTCGTTTGGAGGCCTTCATGTTTTATGTGTGTAATTAATGAATTACATCTGCTGCCGTCAGTGTGCAATCTGTGACATAGAGATTGTTTCTGCCACGGCGAAATATGGCCAATCAGCCACCTTCATTGCTTAATTCTCTCTGCCGCCTCTCTTCACCTCCTTGATTAGCAGTGTGACGGCCACCGTGATAGAAATCTCCAGCCGTGAGCCAGTGTTTGTGTGGGTGCGTGTTGGTCTTGCATTAGATCTGTACAACACTACACACACCATCTGCCACTATTTTATTTTATTTTATTTTATTTTTTTATTTTTTTATTTTTTTAGAACTAGCATTTTGACCAAACAGCAATTGCAACTATATAGTTCTAAAACATTTTTAGCTAACTTAATTGACTTTTTATTTTATTTTACTTTACTTTGCTTTACTTTACTACCATATTAACCAAACAGCAGTTGTAAAGAAATTGAGTCAAAATCATTATTTTATTTTATTTTTTTAGAACTATCATTTTGACCAAATAGCAGTTGTAACTCCAAAATCTTTTAGAACTATATATTTGAATTATTTATTTTATATATTTATATTATTTATTTTATTTAGATATTATTAAAATGTTTTGGAACTATATAGTTGACATATATATTTATATCTTTTAGAACATGTATAACTTATTTTATTATCAATCACATTAACCAAACAGCAATTTTAAAAGTTTTATTTAAAAAAATATATTTGTTTTATTATTTGTATAATTTGTATATTTTTTTTTATTATTTATTATTTTGCAATTCAATTGTTTCAAATGTTTTATTTTTTTATTTTAAGGCATGTTTCTCAAAATTAATTTAATTTAGTTAAAAATTGTATTAATCATTTTCATTTATATTCACCAATATAAGTGCACATAGTTTATACTAACTGTTAAATTGGTGCATATAAATAAAAATAAAGCAAAAGTAAATGTATTTGCCAACAGGTTTTATTGTGTATTTTGTGGCAGTGTGTGGTGGGGAGGGGGGCGACTTTTGGAAGTACCAGATAAAATGTAGGCCTAAACAGCTGGATAAATGTCAACACATCTCTAAGTATTGGAGTGTGTTCACCTTTCGTGCAGCTGTTGTCAGTGTAGCACCTGTCTGAGAATGATCGGCTGGAACCATTTCCTGCTCTCAGGAATGTGTGTTTTGGTAATGACACAGAACATTGAGATCCTGACGCGTGATGAGGCATCACTCACACACTGGCAATGAGAAATTGTCCCGCAGGAATGCCACCTCGCTGCTGGGAACTCAACGTGAGGAGAACGTGAAGCCGACTGGGCTTGTTAAAATGCCATCAAGTTTAAAAATAGCTCCGTAAAGCTGCATTTAAAAAAAAAATACCAGCATTTCAGACAGATGAGAATCCATACAGAAGAGAGAATTTGATGAATTGTGAAAGGAGATTATCATATCTAAAACAGTGATGGTTAGGGTAGAGAAAAGGTCACAGCGGTGCTGATTTGGTGATCTGCAAACGTCCCGTAGCAGCAGCGTCTGTTCAATTGGCCCTGAAATACGCGTACACGGAGTGGGATGGCAGATTACATTGAAAAGATAAGTAAGGCCTAATTGGGTCGTGAATTTGTTTCTTTTCTTTTTTTAAAGCAATGGCACCCCAGTAGTGCCGGTGGAGTCAGAAAAATAGTCAAATAAATCTCTCAGAGATAGTTGTGCACCTGATCAAAGAAAGAAAGAAAGAAAGACTACATAATTCTAAAACATTTTTTAATCAGCTTAGTTGACTCATTTATTTGAATTTTTAAAGATTATAATATTAACCAATTTATTTATTTAAATTTTTAGAGATTATAAGATTGACCAAACAGCAATTATAAAGATTTAATTTTAATTTTAGTTTCATTTTTTAGAGGTGTCATATTAACCAAAAAGCAACTGTAAAGAAATTAACTTAAAAAGTTGAATTTTTTTAGAACTATCAGTTTGATCAAACAGGAGTTTATTTATTCAAAATCTTTTAGAAATATTTATTTATTTCTATGTATTTATTTATAGAGCTATCGTGTTAACCAAACAGCAATTTTTTATTATTTTATTTTATTATTTTGCAAGTAAATAGTTTCAAACTGTTTGATTGTTAAATTTAAGCCAATGAGAAAGATTTTTGTCACATATGAAGTTATTAAAGTTTCATGCATAATTATAAAATGAAATTATAATAAATAATGAAGAATTATAAAAGAAACTTTGCTAATAATAATAATGATAATAATTAAAGTTATATATATAATTTAAATAATATAATTATATAAATTATAAATTATGAAATAAAAATTTTAATAGTTTAGATGGACATGTCAACTACCCAAAAGTCTTTGCTGTCAATTATTATACACGTTTATTTATAACTAGCATCAGTAACAGATGCACTTGAACTAGAATGTTCAAGACTTTTGAGGTTCATGGAATAATTCATTAAGTATGTTTAACACCATTATTTAATGCAATTAATTTCCCTAATGTGACATTAGTCATTAGTTTCTAAGACTTCAACAAACGGAAACAGCACACAAACTAATTAGTAAAACATTTTTACATTGCAGCACTTTTACATTTATTAAGCTTTGATAATTAAATTCAGTCACAAATAATGCAAATTGTATTAGTCCCATCTTGATTTCATTTATAAATAAATTTGACATTAAAAAGTTATTTCTCCGCTCAAATTTATTAGTCATTTAGTCATGATTCTCACGATGAGATTTTCAATGTGAAATTAGACTTTTGGACTTTTGGACCTACTTCAAGAGTTTCTCCAAACATACAAAAATATACATATGTACAAATACCTACGAATATGAATGAGGCTGTCCTGTCCTTGAATGTATGTTGTTGTTGTAGTTTCAGAAGAACCAGCATGTCTTTTGTGTCTTTTTCCTCTTTCTTCTGCGTTCTCTTCTCTTTCTATCGACTGTGCCATCGCTGTTTGCTCTTGTCTGCTTATTAGTTTTCTGATACGCTTCTCATCCCCGTCCCTTTAATATTTGTCACACACTCTTATGCTGCGCTGTAGTTTAATGAAATGTTGGTTATTAAACGCTGGCTTATCAAACCTCTCCTCTCTCTGTCTGCAGACGGAGCAGTTTGTTCACGCTCTGAAGGATGAGCTGGTGAAGAGCGCCCTCCTGGCGCTGCACGCCGCTCGTCCTGGATACATCAGCAAAAGTCAGACTTCTGCTCCGTCCAGCCCACGCGAGGCCGACCCGCACCCCAGCGCCCCCGAGGAACCGCACAGCGTCTGTAACAATGTGGACGGCTCTCAGACGCCGCCGAAAGAAAGCCGAGCGTCTCCCGTCCGCTCCGACTCCATTCCGCACCACAAGGAGTACGACGAGGAGGAATGGGCAAGTGTTTTCACTTCTGAGTCTTCATGCATTAGGTGTAGGGATGCACAATACTGGATTTTTTTTTTCTTTCCAGATTTGCTGATATTTTTCAACTCATTTTGGTGGATAGCCAACAGTGTTGGGAAAAGTTACTTTTAAAACTAATGAATTACAATATTCCGTTACTCTATAAAAAAGTAACTGATTGCATTTCTTAGTTACTTTTTATGGAAAGTAATGCAATATGTTACTTTTGTGTCGCCTGGGCTAAGCTTGCATATATGTTTTTTAAAGGGGTCATATGATGCGATTTCAATTTTTCCTTTCTCTTTGGAGTGTTACAAGCAGTTTTATTTTTTGGCAACTTTAAAGGCAGTTTCACATCAAAAGTGAAATTAATAAGCCTCAGGGCAAAATCGGGCAAAAATCTGGGCAAAAGTCATGTAGTGTATTCCAGCCTTTAGTTTTTCAGTCTCTCTGCTATGGAAGCCCATTTCCACCACTGAATAAAAAATAAAAAAGGTAATTGCGACTTTTTATCTCACAATTTGCACTGTTTTCTCTGCAATTATATGTTTAAATCTCGTAATTCTGACTTTTTGTTTCTTGCAATTGCGAGTTTATTTCTTGCAATTCTGACTTCTGAGAGTTGTGAGATATAAACTTGCAATTGCCTGTTATCAGATCAGAATTGCAAGATATAAACTCGCAATTCCATGAAAAAAGTCACTATTATCTTTTTTCTTTTTTATTCAGTGGCAGAAGCGGGCTTCCGTACTCTGCACGTGTGCTGCTTGTGTCTGCAGCTCTTCAGAGAGTCTGACAGCGCTTGAGCTCGGACATATTTGATAGGATCTTGAGAGGTTCAATCATCCCACAGGACCAGAGGCGAGATAGGGATCAGGTTAGCAACCGAGCCAGTGACTTCAGCACACGCAGCAACCACTATTAGCATCTGTTAGTGGAAAGCTTTACCACAGAACCTGAAGGATGACCACAAACTCAAATCACATATTTAGGGGCTCAAGAGTGTGTTAAGTTGTGGATGTTAAGCTGCGGTGTCTGGCTCCTGTAATTGCCTTCAAGAGTGTGTATTTGTGTGTGTGTGTGTGTGTGTGTGTGTGTGTCATAACCGTGGCTAACAGGAGAGGATTAGAGGACAAGATAAGACAAGCCTCTCTAATCAATGCCAGAATAACTTGTGCGCCCTTGAGCGCCACTCACAGGAGGGAAGGAGAAACCATGCCTGATGTTTGCTGTACATTAAGATGATGAATCTTCCCAATATTCATAGCAGAAGTATGTCATTTTTGCTGTCAGAATGTTTCATATTCATATTGCTTTTAACTCTTGTCAGCCAGTAGAAGTGCTGCTTTTGTATCAGTTTGAATAAATGTAGTAGGAGTATCCAGTAAGTGCTTAATTAAACATCGTATTATTGATTCTGTACAATAAAATAGAAAGAGCAAACCCACACTCTCTTTCGAGGATATTTTACTTTTAAAGGGGTCATATGATGTTGCTAAAAAGAACATTATTTAAACGCGCTTGATTGTTTTCGTCCTGCTTTGGCTTTAAATGTAAGGCATGGGAAGACCATCTTATCTAATAATAAGATATTTCTTAGTAAAAATGTTGTTTTTGCTAACTAACAACATCAGCATATGAAATCTGAGCTGAAGTTTAACTGTATCTGACAGTTGTGGTCTGCAGTATGATTGTGTGTGTGTGTGTGTGTGTGTGTGTGTGTGTGTGTGTGTGTGTGTGTTTGTGTGTGTGTGTGTGTG